TTTCCCATCGAATTCCTGTGGCTTCCTTTGTACTAGATCACCCTATTGCTGACACTTATGTCTGGAATGTGACTTCTGACAGGACTGAAGATGTCTGCCTTAGGGTTTAGTTGTGGGTTCTGGAAGGGGCTTTCCGTTGTCTGGGGCTGATTAGGTCCATGGCTAATATATCATTCTTGTGTTAAAGACAGTAAATCATCCTTTAAGGTATTTAATTCACTTTGAAATTTACTAAGCTTTTCCATTTGTACTTCTTGTTTCTTTTTTTGTTCCTGTTACCACTGCTGTAGTCTCTCTGCTTGTTCATTTTCTTTCTCCTCCAACCACTGCTGTAGTCTCTCTTCTTTTTTAATTTCTAGTTCCTCTTGTTTCTTTTCTTTTTCCTCCAACAGCTGTTGTAATCTCTCTTCTTGTTTCTTTTGCTGTTCTTGTATTGCTGCCATCAAATTTGGTAAGCTGTAGTTTGATTTGCCACCTCTCGTTTCCATCTTCTTCTTCTTTTCTTTTTTTATCTCTCTTTCCTGTTCCACTCTCTGACACCAATTTGTTATGTCTCTGGTCGTTTGTTAATTTCCGGTATAAATTCTTCACGAGGAACTTCAGCAATACAAGACCTTTCTTTAAATAAAACTAGTTTATTCTCTCTCAATGCAACTCTGCAATACACAGAATTTCCACAATCACTTTAACTTAAATACACGCTATAATTCACAACGATTCATGCACTATTCTTATGGTCACTACCGTTCGCTTGACTCACTTATCTGTCTCTGTATCTCTCTATCTGCTATTATATCTCCGCTTTATTTGCCGGGCTTATATACAAGAAAAGATGGCGCCTAGAAAAGACTAGAGTTGCCAGGAAAAGTCAAGATCCTTCGAGAATCTCATGACGTGTTACCAGCGTCACGTGATTTCCGCTGTCGTAACAATATATAAAATCAACATTAAGAGAAGTTTTATCTGGTCTGTACAGTTGCAGAATGATTTCTCCAGAAACTTGATGAATGTGCTGGCCATGAGGAATTTTGTGCAAATTGAAATATTGTATTGATCATATAATAATCTCTGCTGGCCAAAATGTCTCTAGTGTTGAAAGAATAATGCATCTGCCATTGGAAACAAGATGTTTTCAAAATGATGATAAAGGAGATAAATTCACTGTGAGAACAGAAGCTACTTCACAAAGCAAATGGTTTTTAGGTAGATGAAATGTGTTCCTGACTTTGGAATAAAAATAAATAAATGTTCTTGAAATTATGTTATTTATTGATGGTTTGAGGATTGTTACTTTACATCAGTTTTTTATGAACTTTCCAAGGAACTGTAAGAAGAAACATGCAGTGCGTTAATAAAACTAGTTAAAGTTTTTTTAAATACCATATTTTCTGCTTGTATTTTGATGATTAATACCTCTTTGTAGAAATAGGTTTTAGTTATATATTAGTCATATTATCGACCTATGGAACTGGGAGAAATACGATGTGACAACTGTTAAACAGTTACTTCTGTGCAGGAGAGTCGAGAGCCAGCACGGGCCCCGGGGCATACATCCTCGCCGGGCCACTTTATTTATCCTTTTTTTAGCATTTTAAAGAACTTATTAAAAAAAGAAGATCCTAAATTAGAACAGCAACGAGCTCATATACAAAGCAAAATCATAGAAACAGCCTTTACAGTATAAGGGTAAGAACGTTAATATAGTAACAACAAATATATATTAAATTTATAAAGTAACAAGTATATTTTAATTATTACTCAAATTATTATTTCAATCATTCTTAATTTATCAAACGTCTATGTGCAAAGAAAAGCCAAAACTATGATTAAATGAAGATATATCCTAAAGATGCTTTGCGGGCTTTACGGTATAACTAGGTTCCATTCGCTAGGGCTTCTGGGCAGTTGCCCCCCCCCCTCTCCCCTCTGTCGTCGGGCCTGTTCTTGTTTATATTTCATTTCAAATTTTAAATCTGTGTTTCCTTTTGTAAGAAACGTGTTAAATCTCTACACAGTTTTGTGATTGTGTAAAATCTCAGCATATCATAGTTATTGTTAAACTAAAATGTTTGGTGGAAAGAAAGTGTTAAATTCTAAGGCATTAATTAAATACTTAACAGTCACATAGTTTACCTCTTAGAGATAGTACGTCATGAGTAATTAAGAAGGGTATTGTTGTATGAAAGTAGATATTACATATTCTACACTTAAGCTATTATAAATACGTCATTTTTGACAAGTAAAGTTAAGTTTTATAACTGGTCAGTAATTTAGGATTTTGAATTTATGCAGGTCTAACAATGCATCCAGACTATCTGCATCAAATGGCAACACTCAACCAACGAGGATTGGTTGGAGACTTCCAGCCTCTTCTACCTAACTCAGCCGCTGATGTAGGTTTTTCAGTGGATAGTAAGTATAATAAAGTTTTGGTATACAATGTTAAAACTGTATTACTTTTCTTTACTTTTATACTATTATTTTGTGCTAATATAAATCGTATACTTGTGACACTTATGTTTTTTTCATTTTATAGACTGAGAATAAAATCAATTGCAGTTACAGTTCGAGATTTACATAATATGATAAAGAAGTATTGCATGTTTATTTCCTGCCATAAGCTAGTACCAGAACAAAACTATTAGCTTCTGTAAGATATCCTGAAAGTAGGATTGAGAGATATTGTTTCCTTACCTCTTGGCTGGTTTGCATATTTTAGGCTCTAGTCTGAATAGTCCTAGACCAGGGTTTCGACATGGAAGGAAGCGTGCTTTGTCCAATTCACCCTATTCAGATGTTTTTGACATCAATTCCATGATTAGGTTTTCTCCGAATTCCTTGATGTCTTTCATGAATGGATCCCGAAGTTCTAGTGCCAGTGGATCATATGGCCATCTTTCTGCTGGTATGTAAACTATTTAATACATAACGACTTGCAACTGCTCTTGTAGTCAACAGTAAAAACTAATATCTCTAAACAATTGGAATAATGCTATAGTGTGACCGCGCGTGAGCGGCTTTTCTAATAAGACATTAGTATTAGGCATATTATATATTTTAATACTATGTTCTTTATTCAATCCCAGCCGCCCTTATGAGCTCTGTATTGATTTTATCATGCTAATATACACTCTTCTTACCCCCCCCCCCCCATAAGGACTTAATCAAGAATGTATTATTAAAAACAATAATAAGCCTAATACTAATGTCTTATGACAAATATGATTATTAATCATCATGCTTCTTCAGTACTGTATTTATTGTGTTCCAGATGGCCTGTTGAGCTCTATATTGAGCAGAACGCGTCGTCAAAAATGGATATCGCGAACATAATTGGTTGAAATACCGACACTCTTCTAATCCTTAAGAAACCCAAAGGGACGGAATAAAGAATACAGTATTAAAAATATACTAAGGCTAATGATATTCTGTGTTGTTGTAAAGTGTGAGCTATTGTTAATAGTAATCACAATCTCAATTTCCTTAAATATTTAATTCCCCGATGGTACAACGTAAGTCTACGGACTTACAACGCTAAAATATAGGGTTCAATTTCCCCGAAGTGGACACAGCAGATAGCCCAGTGTGGCTTTGCTCTAAAACAAACAAACCAACCTTATTCTTTAATATGAGGTATAAGTACAACTTTGATCAAAATTGAGGGCTGTTTAATTTCACTTCAAAAAGAAGCTTATATTAAACTTCAAATTATGTGAGTTCAATGATATAAGCGTAAAATAACATGGATAAAATGTTTTCTCTACTTATAAGGGTAAACATGTCAAGGTGAGACTTACGATTATTTATATTAATATTTACTCTAACAGTTAAATGCTGTTTTTAATGTAAAGGAGAGTTAAAAAGTAGCATTAAAAACTTTTTTGTGACACACCAGACCAAATTAAAGTTTAAACACAAAATTATATAGCAATTTCATTAAACGAATGGTTAAAAAATACTTGCCAGACCTTTCGACAAGTCTAGTATTTTTCTAAGTGTTTACTCTGTGTGTTGGGATTCACTATAGGTGATTATATACAATTATGGTGGTAACGCGTGGTGTACTGGTACTTATTATGTTTATTTGTTTTTGTTGTCTCTTGGGTTCCTCCATAACTCATGGGAAAATGTGTTTAAATTCGTTATTACATTTAGCTATAACCACTATTTTTACAATCTAGGATGTGATTTTGTCTAACAATCTGCATGTTAAGCTTGAAGCATTGGTGGGAATTAAATTCAAGTTATTTTTTTCTACATTCAGAGGTTTCCGATCTACAGTAGAAGTTCAAGTTCTGTTTTCTTGTATGTTAACTGAAATATGCAAGAAGGACAGTTTTCCTTGAGATTCTTAATCTTGGTTATTAATACCGCAAAGGTGATCCAAAACAGTTTCTCCGAGTTTTTATTATATATATATATCTAGAATGGTGAAATATCATCCACGTATGTTTTATAGCTTTTAATTTTTGAAGCTTTCTAAGGCTTGATATCGAAGGTTTTCATAACTAAAGCTGCTACAATAGTTGAAATTAGCAACTCCATAGTTGTACGATGGATTTGTTGGTAATACTACTCATTGTATTGGAACTAATTGGGTAACATCAAGGCATAGTTTTAACAGTTTGTTTGTTTGTTTTTGAATTTGGCGCAATGCTACACAAGGGCTAGCCGTCCCTAATTTAGCAGTGTAAGACTAGAGGGAAGGCAGCTAGTCATCACCACCCACCGCCAACTCTTGGGCTACTCTTTTAACAACGAATAATGGGATTGACCGTCACCTTATAATGCCCCCACTGCTGAAAGGGCGAGCATGTTTGGTGGGATGGGGATTCGAACCCGCAACCCCCAGATTACGAGTCGATCGCCCTAACCACCTAGCCATGCCGGGCCAGTTTTAACAGTGTACAAATGTCATCTGGTGATAGTGACGTCCGTTCAGTTAGGCTCTTGTTTTCGTTCAATCTGGTTTTGAAACGCTACGGCCAATTTGGTGGGTATATATTGTTATGTCTCTGGTCGTTTGTTAATTTCCGGTATAAATTCTTCCCGAGGAACTTCAGCGATACAAGTCCTTTCTTAAATAAAACTAGTTTATTCTTTCTCAATACAACTTTGCAATACACAGAATTTCCACCGTCACTTTAACTTGAACACACGCTATAATTCACAACGATTCACGCACTTTACTTACCGTTACTACCGCTGGGTTTACTTTATTATCTGTCTCTATATCTGCAATCATTTGTCGGGTTTATATACTAAAATAGAGGGCGTCTGGCAAACACTTGGGCCTTCATGATCCTTCTAGAAACTCATCACGTGTTACCAGCGTCACGTGACTTTCGTGACTTCCGCTGTCGCAACAATATGTAAACAGGCTTACAACATCAAACCATATCATTTCTTCACTTTCATTAATGAATATTGTTTGAAGGTAATTAGTAGATTCAAAACTATTTCTTATATGTCACGGACTATTACCAACTAAAGGGTGTAATAAACCTACAACGTGTTTAGAAAGGTTATATGTAGGTGAATTTATGCAACTGGTGATTGGTGGTAATGGGATATGTTCTCTTTATGCATTTTTGGAAGGTCATACAGACGGATTGGGACGTTAGCTATTTATTGATATCAAATAGAAATACAGATAGTTTGAAAATATTTATTTCCATTTTTTCTTCTTTTTATCTAAAATCACAATTGCTTCTATCATGTCAGCTGCTAGTAACTGTATATTCTTATTGTTTTTCACGTTATTGGTAGTTGGATGTTCTTGTTTAGTTAGCCCCACCCCACTTCAGTGGCTTAACAATAAGTCTGAGATCTTATATAGCTAAACATTGGGTTTCGATACATGCAGTGGGCATAGCAGAGCCCATTGTGTAGCTTTGTGTCTTACAACTGTTACGTATTAGAATTTCGAATGGTCTGAAACCGAGCTAAATGATACTTTAAATTTAGTAGTTAAATTGTACTTTAAATTTAGTAGTTAAATTGTAGTTAAAAGCCGATATTTTGTCAGTTTATGATATTTGCCAACAAGATTGATACACACAGTTTTCGTTTTTAACACAAATACGTTTTAATATACACACAACAATTCAATTTACAATAACAGTTATTACAAACAGTGATTTCTAACCAAAGTTTCACAATCTTGCAAACAATATAAAGTCTTCCTTTTAGTCTGTAACTTCTTTGATATCTTAACAAGGGTTTACGATGAGCGAATTAATTACGAGTTGACTTAAGACACAATTCACGTAACAGGGAGCTGTAGTCTTCACTCTTCATACACCTATTAGAGATTGAGTTTCCACCGATGACGTTAGGTAATGTTTTCGTAAAAGTATTAATGTCGGATGAGAATCCACTGAAGTTAAACGATTTGTAATGTTCGAACTTTGTAAAGGTTCCTGGTCAAATATCTGAAGTTTTCCGATTGATAAGCGTTATTACAATCACAGTTATAGCTTCCGACGTTTATAGCACACTGACTATAGTAAACTAATAATAGATATTCTTTTTTGCGCATCGCGTTGGTTATATTTATAGCTGTATGGAGGCGTTCTAGAAATTTCAGTTCCACGAAACAGTACTGAGCTACATTTAAGCTTTATGTGTATACATATGTTGTTGATTGTAGAATACTCTGCTATGAATTTGGTTAGATTGTAGCATCATTATAATTATGTTTCCTGGCATTTTCTTGTATATACATGCTCTTTTGAGCAGCCAGAGCTCACACAATCATTATCAAAGTTTGTGGGATCTGGAGTATTCTGGTAGTTAGGACACTTGACTAACAATATGTGGACTGTGGGATAGAAATCTATTTCTGAACATGTTCACCCTTTCAACCATGGCAACATTATAACGTGAAGATCAACCTTGCTATTTGTTAATTAAAAGAGTAGCCCAAGAGCTTGTGGTTGGTGTTGTGTTTACTGATTGCCTTCTCTCTTGTTTATTCCTTCAAAATTAGGGATGGGTAGTGCCAATAGCTTTCAAGTAGTTTTGAGAGAAAATTAAACCAACAAACAATAAAATTAGATTACCAGTTTGCCCCTGAGGAAGAAAGGTCCACCTTTCAAAAGTGATCAGATTATAGGGTTTTTATCATTTTGTATTAAATTACCAATATTGGTAAAGACCTCACAATATTTCTATTTGTGAATAAGATTTTCTTTGTTGTTCATGTTAATTTTATTCTCTGCATAACATTTATGGAATGTGCTGTAATACAGATATTTGTGATCCTCTGTTTTGCCTCAGAGTACCTAAATATCACAAAAGTGCAACATATATTGTATTTGTCAATTGTTTCTTCTTTTTAAACTTATTTTGTTGAATAATTGTTTTGATTATTATTTTTTTCTGTGCATGCAATTTATTTTATATATGGGCTGTGCTTCTATGAAACTATAGAAACATAGTGTATATTTTGTTCAAAACAAAAGACTAAGTTGTACTGAAATGAGTAAATGACTTTGATAATTTGATCAGGAACCCTGAGTCCAGCAATGGGCATCTCACCACCCACTGTTCCTCCACATCTTCAACAACTCCATCAACTGATGTGCCAGGGAGGTCTTGGCTCTTCTGTTGTTTTCCCACCTAACTCTGGCCTTCCACAGCAATCACTGCTAACTAACCATGGGTTTGGAGTTCCAGGTAGCTCTGTTGGAACCATGAAATTTGATTCTGGTGTGAGTAGCATTTCTATAAGTAATAGAGATGGGAAGTTTCTACCCAATACATTTATTGTTATTCACTTCATTACCTGAACATTTCAGTAACCAGTTTTATTGAATAGTTATTTGCTTTACTTGAATAATCATATGTTTTATTGAGGTATCATTTAGAACACTTATAGGAAGCTAAGAGATCCATTTCTTATTCTAAGTAATAGATAATTTTGGTTATTAAACTTTGATTTGTAGAAATGTTTTATTGTTGCATCATATTATACTTATCCAGATTGTGGTTGAAGCTGTTAAATCATCTAGAACTTTTTTTTTGGCTTTTTAATAAAAATGGTTAGTAATAAAATTATTTTAAGCCTAAATGGAAAGTGATTGATCAAGATGTGTAATTGTTTATTTGTTTACACCAGATCAATGTTGTTGGTAGTCGAGAAATGGCGAGCAACATAGTTAGCAGCACAGTTGATTCAGAAGGAAGTAGAAAAAACAATATTAAGAAAGAAGCAACAAACAGTTTAGCTGGTGAAGCATGTAGAGTGGATGATGACCGAGATGTAAGTATAGACCTCAAAGATGAACCTGGGGATTTTGTGGAAACAAACTGTCATTGGAAAGACTGTGAAAAGGAGTTTGGTACTCAAGATGATCTTGTAAAGGTATTTCTCTGAAGTTTGTATTGTTAAATTTGAGTTGTTATACTAGCTTATAACAATGAAAATGTTATTTAATTAGTAAGGTTATGATTAGTTGAAGGTGCATTTAAATGTGAACTTACTATAATTTTTGAACTTCCATTCAAACTTGCAAATGTTTAATATTTAATGTGGTAGTTAAAACTGACAAAGAAACACCTGAACATCTAGACTGTTTTGAATTGCACGAGTCTAGGAAAGTACAGCAAAGCACTTTAATTGTTATTGAGCTATCAAATAGTTATTTGTATTGCATAAATCAGAGTAATCAGTAATGGGGATATTATTAAGATAAAATTATAATTTAGTTCTGTTGTAAAACAAACTTCAGTTTTAAGTTGCTTTATAAAGTCAGCATGTTCTTTTAGTGTTTCTACGTTTAACCTACTATTATTGAAGGGGCTGGTAAATGTGAATGATCCAGTGAGATGTAGGCAAATGATTTAAAGATGAATAATGCAGAAAGTTTTTAAACTTTAGCTGAACTTGTAAAATTAACAATGTAATACATCAAATGAGGGAAATATACTACCCTTTTTTTTAACAACTGTAAATTCTACAGCCATAATGTGATTTAATTTAATTCAGAAAGTTTTTAAACTTTAGCTGAACTTGTAAAATTAACAATGTAATACATCAAATGAGGGAGATATACTACCTTTTTTTTTAACAACTGTCAATTCTACAGCCATAATGTGATTTAATTTAATTTTATAAATATATCTTAGTATGCAAAACATGTTTCACCATATTGATGTTTTTCTCATAATCAAACTTTATCAATTTTGAAGAATTTCAACCATACATCATTCTCATGCAATTATACTTAATTGAAAAAAGAAAACTTTTGGCTAAACTTGGAATTTTTCAGCATATAAATAATGATCACATCCATGGAAACAAGAAATCTTTTGTGTGCCGATGGGAAGATTGTTCCCGAGAAGAAAAGCCTTTCAAAGCTCAGTATATGCTGGTTGTTCACATGAGACGGCACACTGGAGAAAAACCACATAAATGCACAGTAAGTTCTGCAAAACCAGATATTTCTAAAGAAAACTACGAAAATTCACAGGAAGTTTACTTTATTAGCATAATAGTATTAGTAAAAAAACAATGAAATTGAGCAGAATAAAAATATCAGTAAAGGAAGTATTAGTAAGAGATGTTGTGAGGTTAAAAAAAGTTTAATATGACCTAACAAAAACATCAAAGAAATCTTAAGAAGGTTAAGAAAATTTTAAAAATGTCTGTTATTTGATAGAACATTTAAAATTGCTATTTTAAATAAGTTGGGTAAACCATCACTGAAATATCTGAACGTTACTGAAAACTAAATATGTTTCAAAATTCAGCATTCTTTCAATTTAATTTTAGTGTAGCATTTCATTTAAATTGTTATTTTTAACTTACATTTTTGTGATAATGAATGGCATAAAAGCTGGTAATATAAAAAATGAGTTATGTACTTCTAGGACTTTACAATATCTATTTACAATAAAAATTATATGTTACTGAAGATCTAGTGTACATAGAATTCAAATCTAAGAGTCTAAAATCACCTGCATAAAATTTTATTATATTTTTATTTAAGTAACCATGAAATAATATTTGCAAAAGAAAAATCAAAACAAAAGTATAAGTGGAACCCTCTGTTTTAACAAACATTGTTAAAAATATATATTTTTGACAATGATGCATCATAAGTATATAGATTTGTTTATGTTTAGTTTGAAGGTTGTAGCAAAGCCTACTCTAGACTGGAAAACTTGAAGACTCATCTTAGGTCTCATACAGGGGAGAAACCTTATGTGTGCGAGTTCCCGGGTTGTACCAAGGCATTCAGTAATGCTTCTGATCGGGCCAAACATCAGAATAGAACTCATTCAAATGAGGTAAGACTGTAATGTTTGAACAGCTAGAATTTTGCTTTATTTAAAAATATAAGTTTTATACTCTGTTTGTGTACAATTTAGTGAAGAGCACTGTTTGAATGAACAGAACTTATTTGCTCAACAGTTATGAAATTAATCATTTAAATAAACTCTTTTTGGACAGAACAAATTTTGGAATTTTTTATTCACGTACTGTGGAAATACTAAGTATTTAATTTATTAAATGTTTATGCTTCAAAAAGCAATAAATTATACTGTAGTAAATTTTTAATAAGCTTTGTTGTAGCTGCAGCAGAGTAACATTTCTTTTTTGAAAATCAGATGACATTTGGAGGTATATTAAAGGATATATTGTAATATATTTCTGCTAAGCTTAGGTTATAACTTCAGTTCAATCATATCCTTTACTAATTATAGTTAACTTCTGAAAAATAAAAAGAATACTTTAAGATTTGTTTGTTTGTTTGAATTTTGTGCAAAGCTATTTGAGGGCTACCTGCACTAACTCTCCCTAATTTTGAAATAATAGACTAGAGGGAACACAGCTAATCAACACCACTTACTGCCAACTCTGGGGCTACTTTTTACCAATGAATAGTTAGATTGACCATCACATTATAATGCCACCACAGCTGAAAGGGAAAGCATGTTTAGTGATAGGATTCGAACTCGCGACCCTCAGATTACGAGTTGAATGCTCTAACCACCAAGCCATGCTAGGCTTACTTTCTTAAGAAAATAAGATTATTTGCATATTAGTTTTACTCCTTGGAATTGAAATTAATTAAGTGAAAAAAGGGGGATTCACTAACTGAAAAGTACACATTTACCTTAGAAATTGAAACTTTTCAGAAATAGGTTAATTAATGTTTGGTTTACGTACATTTTGGTAACTCTGTACATTATATAAACTTTAATAACAAAATTAAAATATTTTGTTCCCACAATCTCATTGATACATTTTTCTTGAATCATTGGTTAAATTTGTTAATGAAAATAGAAATTTATTTTTCTTTTTATTAGAAACCATATGTATGCAAGGCTCCTGGTTGTACCAAACGTTATACAGATCCAAGCTCACTACGGAAACATGTTAAAACTGTTCATGGTCCAGATTTCTATGCTAACAAGAAGCACAAAGGTAATGAATCTGGGGGATCTTGGGAAAAGGATGATAAACCATCAGACCCAGGTGAGGGTAGTCCACATTCTGATGATGGCTCTGGCAGTAAAGGCACAGTTTTGTCCAGCCCAAGTGTTAAATCTGAGGTATTTCTATTAGTTTCTCTAATAAAAGCAATTTATTTGGACACATTGCTCACAAGAGTGAAAGTTTTAAATATAACTCAAGTTCTATATCTGGTGATGTGTTAGCCTATAATAACAAAATTTTAAAGTTAAAAACTTCATCTTTTTTTCAGCTGGAAGTTTAATACTTACTTTTCTTGTTTCATTAAACACATTCAATAAGAAGGTCTTAATAGTAATCTTAAACTTACTATATATATCTACCAGAGCCAGGATTCTCCACACCATGATGAAAGCCCTACAAGTGAAGGGACCTCAGATGTACCAGGTACAGTAGATCAAACTCTGTATAATGGCCCAATCAGCGATAACAGTGTTTCTACCACTAGTGGTCCTTTGGAGGGATTAGAGATGGACAGTGCTTGGGAAGTTGTGGACAATCAAACTGTAGAGGTAATACGCATTGCTGTTCAGATTCAATGATCAGAATGGAAGGTATATTTTCCACTGTAGTGGTGATCTCAACCTCAAGTCAGTTTCATTCGGGCAGATCTTTAGTGGAAGATATCATATTCATAGTTATCTCATTATAGTAAGGAGCTCAGTAACTAACTAGTTCAAAACTAATTTCCAGGATTATAAAACCTCAATTTTATCTAAAATTAATTATTTTGTTAAGACACATCGTAAATGTTATTTGCTCTTGAATTTTATTGTTTCACAGTATTCTGTTATTGTAAAATTGTGTTAATTTACATTGTATTTGTAAATAATTTAAGATGCGTATATACACAACTACTTCCACTTTTGATTTTTAACATACGTAAAACACAATACTATATCTTAACATAAGAAGCATTAATACATTGTTATAAATAAAAGTATGATTTTTATCAGTTTAGTGAAGGCTTTAATATAGAAATTGTATTGTTTTGATTGTCTGCTTAGTTAGGAGAACACTCTCCAGGTGTTGCTTGTGTTACTTCAAGTGGACAGAATGGAGAAGCTGAAAGGAATGTACATAATAGGTTAAAAAGCAGGTTTCTGTCAACTTTTAGATCAGGAGTCTCTTGGCTGCCAAACATTTTACCATCAAGAACAGGTAAATGCAGTTTTATATGAAAGATAAAATGAGAGAAATATATTACTCTTTTTTTTAATAACTTTATATTCTACAGCCATAATTGGTGTTTTCTAATAAAACTGTATTCATTTTGATAAGTTTCAACCATAAGCTATACTCAATTAAACTAGTTAAAAAAAGAAGAGAAACATAATGTATTGAGGCATTTATTTATTGTTCAAAAACTGCTTTATTTATGAGTCTTATATAATTTCATTAATCAGTTCAGAAAAAATATCTTCCCAAATACTTTATTTACAAAAAAATAATATACATGCCATGTGTGTTTGTAGAAAACAATACATTTATAAATCAAATAATTGGCTGTGTGCGTGTTAAGTGATGTAAAAAAAATTACAATTTTTGTAAGAATATTACATTAATAGGATTTGATATTGTAGGTTTGCCTAAAGGAAGAAGTGTCATGGGTTTTCGAAAAACATCTGGAAACTTGAAACTTCCCAGTATTTGCAGTGACAATAATACTGGCAATAAGAGTATGATAGACTTGTCCTACTCTCAGAACCAAGGTAAATGAAATCTTTGATCAGATTTTTAATCACTTATTCTTAAGTAACATAATGATCAGTTGTTCTCCAGTTAGATTGGAAGAAGTTGGTTATTAATCATTTCTTCACACAGATGTGCATATCTCATTTGTATGAGCAAGCAATGATCCAAAAGTCATCTAATTGTAAAATCAATTAATTGTCTTGTAGCTTTGTAAAAAAGAAAGAGCTTTCTCAAGTTGTCAAAAGATAATGTAGTTCAGCTGCTCCTTAAGCATATGGGTAGTTTTCTTTTAGTCAGTTGTTCTTCAAGCACATCCACATAGTGAATTGTTTATTAATCATATGCTTAGATATATACATATACCACTTGGTTAATATGTTCTGTTAGATAGTTTATTCAACTTTATGTCTCTCCAAACAGACATACTGTTATTATTTTGTTTCTTCTTGCTTTCATCTTCTTCTAAACACTTTTCAGTTGACTGCCATTCCATTATTTCTTTGTGCTTTAACTTGAGACTTGATAAGGTTCTACTTTGGTCCAGTATGTTCAGATATGAGATCAAAGGTAAAACAGTCCAAAAATGTATATTTTGGGCTCCTATGCAGTCATATTTACAGCTGTCAAAATAAAAATTGGCACAAATATAAATTTTAATGCACCCAACACATTGTCCTTGGAAAAAAAGTTAGCATTTCGCATTTTGACTCTTTTTAGGGGAGTCACAGCTCACAAAAAAGCATAATTCTGGAGTTTGGGGTCAATTACTCAGCCATATTTTTCCTAATTTATATTGGATTTGGCACAAAGACATTTTTCTACAGGTCCAACACTTGACAAAAAAAATAGTGGACTTGCCCATTTTTATTATATATGGGGGGGGGGGGGGGGGGGG